AGACATGGGTTGACAATAGGGGAGGTAAGGTAGGTTACAGGGAATTTATTAGGTAGTGCTTCGTTTTTATCTTAAACTGGTTGAGAGAGGTACAGTCATTAACATGGTTGGGAAGGTCATTCCACATTCTGGGTCCCTTGATTTGTAGAGCATTTCTAGTTTGATTAAGTCGTACTCTTGGAATATCAAAACTGTATTTATTTCTGGTGTGGAGCTCATGGGTTCTGTTACAACCTTCAATGAAGCTTTTGAGGTCAGGATTGGCATTACAGTTCAGCGTTTTATATATGTATAATACACATGAGAGAATGTGCAGTGATTTAATATCTAACATATTCAGAGATTTGAGTAAGGGTACCGAGTGATGTCTGGGGCCAGAATTGGATATTGTCCTAATAGCAGCTTTGTGTTGAGTAATTAGAAGACGTAAATGATTTTGGGTAGTAGAACCCCAAACACAAATACTATAGTTGAGATATGGATAGATGAGGGAGTAATAGAGAGTCACTAGGGCAGGGCGAGGTACATGATATCTGATCTTAGAAAGAATGTCAACAGTTTTTTATTTTTTTTTTATATATTTAGAATGTATCCCTGGAAATTCAGCTTGTGGTCAATGAGAACGCCAAGGAATTTGTCATCTATTTTGCTACAAATTTGAGTATTGTTTATTCTCAGATTTATTTGATTTGAGGATTTATTGACAAACAGAATATAGAAAGTTTTGTCAATGTTAAGGGTGAGTTTATTAGCAATTAGCCAAAGATGGACTTTATTTAGCTCAGTATTTACTGAGGCATTTAGAGCAAGGGGCTCAGGACTGGAGTAAATGTAGGTTGTGTCGTCAGCAAATAGAATTGGTTTGAGGTGTTGGGAGGCATTTGGAAGGTCATTAATGTAGATGAGAAAGAGGAGAGGGCCAAGTATGCTGCCCTGAGGAACACCAATGTTGATGGGTATGGTGGGAGAAATTGAATTATTCACAGAAACATACTGGAGCCTGTCAGTAAGGTAAGATTTGAGGTATTGTAGGGAGTGTCCTCTGACTCCATAATGATGTAATTTAAGAAGGTTTTGGTGGTTGACAGTGTCAAATGCCTTACGCAGGTCCACAAATCACCCAACAGGGAACTCATTTTTATCAAGAGCTGCATGAATCAAGTTAATCATACTAATAAGTGCATCGTTAGTGCTTTTTTTGGGGTCTGAAGCCATATTGACAAGAGCTAAGTATATTGTGTTTGGCTAGATAAGAGTAAAGCTGCTTGTAGATTAGTTTTTCAAATATTTTTGACAAGTTAGGCAGGATTGATATAAGTCTGTAGTTGTTAACATCAGTGAGATCACCACATTTGTGGACAGGGGTTACTCTCGCTTTTTTTAGAATATCTGGAAAGGTTTGGAGTTCAAGTGACTTGTTGAAGAGCAATGCAATAGCAGGGGCTAAAGATCTGGAGGCTTTTTTGTAAATTAAAGTTGGTATCTCCTCAAGGGCACTAGACTTGGTTTTAAGGGAAAGGATTATCTCATAATAGTGCACATAGTTACAAAAAGTACTATCTAATCAGGTGGACGGATTGCATAATACCTAAACAAGGAGGAAAGTTAATAGCAAGAATTGTGATGAAATAGTTTGGGATAAGTTACGGAAGAGAAATTATATTAGAAAACCGAATTTTTGTAAGGTAGACTATACAAAGTTAAGAAAAAAGAGAGAATTAAGAAATAAGCCTAAGAAATAAGACTTAGAAATAATCTAGAAAGACTAGATAAGCTTAATAGATAACCTCATCTCGTTACTTATAGTAGATAAAGATTTTGCCAGGATTTCAGGAAGGAAATATTAGAATTATTAGAAAAGATTACCTGAAAGATTACCCGAAAAGATTTCCTGAAAGCTTAGGAAGATTTACCTGAAACATCACCTGAAAGATTAGGAAAGATTGCAGATGATAAGAGGTCAGCAAACACTTTGAATTGTAGCGAGTAAACAATTTACTCGCCTCGATCTCTCATTTGCTTATTGGCAAAACTTAATATAGCACTAACTGCGAAGCTATAATCTTTTCCCCTAATTACAGGCAACATTCTTTCCATCCTTCAAAGCTACTGGAGGACGGTGAGGTGTAGTCCAATCATATTAGCAGTCGAGAAGCGATTAATCATCCACGGGCTCACCATAGCCCGTGCTACATGGACACTTCGTCCTGAGTAGCTATATAAATCTCTAACAACAACAACAGATTAATCATCCAAAACAGCCCCGCTCCTGTGCCAGGTAAGTTCACTACGGGCTCACCATAGCCCGTGCTACTTGGAACTTTTTGTTCCAAGTAGCTGAATCTTAAACAACAACAACGATTAATCATCCCGCGATAGCAGCTTGACGATTAAATGCGACCTCAGAATACTGAAAAGAATTACTGAACAAAAAATTGTACCACTTACGGGCTATTCATGCCCATGCCACCTCTTGGGTGGCTTAATCTTTATCAATCAATCAATCAATTAATCATCAGTATAATTTCCACAGTGATTCAGTTAACTGCTGTACAAACGCTTCGGAGTTACCACACCTCTTCAACCTCAAGAATGTAGCACTCGGTGTGTACAGTTCCAACAGACCCCAAGACGCTTAACTTCAACACAGAGCAGACAGCAGACTACGACCGCATCGAGTTTAGACACTCACCATCGAGCCGTCACCCACACAGAGCTCCGTGACTCTGGCCGCACTCAGCTCTCTGCTCTGCTCTAAGTTCCGTCTCAACGTCTACGACACTGCCAACAACCGACTGCTGTAACCATGACTACTAAATAAATACGAAAACCCACTAAACACTGTGTATCTAATCTACCCAACAACGTAACACAATCGTACGTTACAGAATGAATGCTTTACATCAGTGTTCACACTAGACAGATTGAAAGACATCCCATCACCCACACAAAAGTTCGAAGGAGGTGAAGAGAATGAATTAAGTAATATACCATTACATGCGACACACTCAGGAAGAGCATTGACAAACTAAAGGACTCAAAAGCCCCAGGTGTGGATGGATTTCAATCCAAAGTCGTACATTAACTGGCAAATGCACTATGCTTGCCACTGAAACCCCTTTTCAGAAAATCACTAGACCAAGAGATAGTTCTCCTGGATTGGAAATATGCAAAGGTTACCTCTATTCTCAAAAAAGGCAGAAAGCGCTCGGCAGACAACTACGGTCCACCAGCTTGATATCCCACATCTGCAAGCTCATGGAGAGAATCCTAAGGGAGGGAATCATTCTCCATCTCAGTGAACAATCTTGTAAAATCAACGCAACATGGGTTTGTTAAATATAGATCCTGCCTTACTAACCTGCTCACATTTCTGGAAACGGTAACCGGCTATTCAGACTAAAGACTTCCGGTAGATGTAGACTTTTACCGAAGCTTTTGACAAGGTACCACATGAGAGAATGGCAAGGAAATTAGAGGCACATGGAATTAATAAATTACTAATGGGAGAATACTGGAATGGATAAAATAATGGTTAAACATAGAAAACAGAGGGTCGTGCTAAATGGGAATGAATTTGACTGGGGAAATGTGTTAAGCGAAGTGCCACAGGGGCCAACCTGCGGGGCCAACCCTCTTTGTCATATACATCAATGACAGATGATAATATTACAAACCACATCATCAAATTTGCAGATGACACTAAGATCTACGGTAAAGTAGGGAAGTTAAGGTGATATTAATACCTTACAAAGAGCTCTACATGAACTCCATAAATGATCAGATGACTGACAAATGCTTTTTAATGTCGATAAATCCAAGACCTTACATGTGAGACACAGCAATCCACGTCACAACTACCAAATTGACAGCACTACCTTACAACAGACAGATGAAATAAAGGACCTTGGAGTCAGAATCCATCATTCACTAAAAGTTGCACAACAAGTGGGAGCAGCAGTAAAAATAGCGAACCAAACCCTGGGAATAATCAAGCGTACCTTTACCTTCAAGGAAAGGAAAGTGGTCGTTCAAGTGTTTAAGTCTCTGGTCCGCCCCACCTGGATTGTTGCATCCAGGCATGGAGACCTCGTCTTCAGAAAGACATAGCTGCTCTGGAGAAGGTGCAACACCGGGCAACAAAAGTCGTACCAGAGCTTAGTCATCTCTCGTATGAGGAAGGGTTGAGGGCCCCGGGGTTAACAACACTGTAGACCAGGCATGACAGGGCGGATCTCATCGAAAGCTTTAAAATACTGAGCAACCCGTGAAACCGCCTACCCGCCGAAGCCGTAAACGCCAAAGCTGTGCTGGGGTTTAAAATTCAGCTGGAAAAGATCGTCAGGGCAAATGGGGTGGACCTTTGACAAGCCGCCGGCTTCCTGTCCTCGTCGAGGCCACTAGTATTAGTGGCCCTTAGGTAAATTCAGGTAAAGATGGTGTACCCGGCGGTACCCGGGTCGCCCCGGTGCCAGGTATTCCCCGCACACCCTCTCTCTCTCTCTCTCTCTCTTCACATAAACACACACCTGCCTCGTCTCCTCCCATCACTGTCACAACACATCGTCTTCACTGTAAACATTGTCACCTCCCACGTGTCTACACTCACATACACCCTTCCTGTCTCCCTCATCACTGTAACCATTCTCACTATTCATTACCTCCATCACAGTAAGCAAAAGGTTCCACCCAGAACACATCTCTGTTATCTCAACATACATTTTACATAACGCATTAACATTTAAATGAATGCTAAGCTCTACAGATTCTGGACAGAACATTTTATATTCACCAATTTTGCTAATGGAAATAAGGGTCAGCCTCCATTGAGGAGGGGCAAAGGGAGGGGAGCCGACACCGACCCCCCCCCTCTCCCTTTAACACCTCTTATATAATCACTAGCATATCTGCAAAGTTGAGTGAGGCTAGCCTGGAGCGTCTGACCCTCCAACATTGGACAATCAAACAAACATTCCGTTTTACAGTTACAGATAAGTTACCTGATATTCTCCTCCTGAGAGTGTGGTTGTGGTAGAGTACTAGAACCACCACCAGCACCAGCACCAGCACCACCATCCCCAGCACCAACACCAGCACCTCCAGCGTGCTCTCCATCGCTGACCACTTGTCTGCACTGTGCTTCCCGGCTGCAAAGACACCAAATGCAAATAGAAATTGGATTAGTATATTAATAAATATCCTGTGAGCTGGGCATATTAGATGACCTTATAGTTAGTTTTTGGTCAACACTGTGTAATCTTTCACATAGAACAGGGTAGCAGCACATTGCTGTGTATACCTAAGCTTGTTAATAATAATAAAAAAACGAATGAAAAATATAGGCGTCCAATTGGCAAAACATTTTGACAATTCTTTTTCTCGATCTGCAACTTTTTTCAACTTCTTTCAATCGCACTCAGTTTCTTCTTAATATTTTCCTTCGTCGCCATAGCATTCCGTATCAGAAAACAATCTATGATTGTTTTCTAGACAATCTTAACAATAGACCTGACATAACACATTCACAATAAAACGAAAAAAGCCACTTAAACATGTCATTGCAATATATATTTGAGAGTTGTTTACTACTGGACCATCGTAAATTATATACAGGTGTTTTATTAGGGACAAACAAACACTGGGCTCAAGTTCAAGTTCAAGTATGTTTATTGAGATAAGCAATAAATACATCTCAAAGGGATAGAATAGCTTAGGCTATTTCTAACCCCCTAAGCACTGGGCTTGTGACTTGTGGCGGGAGAAACATGAAACTTCACGGCAACGTCCAGCATCACAACGGACCTCCAGGCCGTCTCGCCAGCGTCCCCAACGTCAAGAAACTGTCCTACTAAAGTGCCCTTATCCTAACCTACCAGAGGACCCAACAACAGAAAACGGGGCAGTATGTCAATTTCGCGAGCCGCTACCATTTTCTAGTACGACAATTTCTAGTCTTAGGTAGACTGCACGTCAAAATGCGACGTTCTATTAGGAGGACGGGTTGCTTTGGTTCCTCAGACGCCAGCGGCCACCAGTGCGCCACTGGAGTGAACAGATAGTTCGACCAACACTAGGAGACTGGTCGACCAGCACTAGGAGGCTGGTCGACCAGCACTAGGAGGCTGGTCGACCAGCACTAGGAGGCTGGTCGACCAGCACTAGGAGACTGGTCGACCAGCACTAGGAGGCTGGTCGACCAGCACTAGGAGGCTGGTCGACCAGCACTAGGAGGCTGGTCGACCAGCACTAGGAGGCTGGTCGACCAGCACTAGGAGGCTGGTCGACCATCACTAAAAGGCCGGTCGACCAGCACTAGGAGACTGGTCGACCATCACTAAAAGGCCGGTCGACCAGCACTAGGAGACTGGTCGACCAACACTAGGAGACTGGTCGACCAGCACTAGAAGACTGGTCGACCAGCACTAGGAGACTGGTCGACCAGCACTAGGAGACTGGTCGACCAGCACTAGGAGACTGGTCGACCAGCACTAGGAGACTGGTCGACCAGCACTAGGAGACTGGTCGACCAGCACTAGGAGACTGGTCGACCAGCACTAGGAGACTGGTCGACCAGCACTAGGAGACTGGTCGACCAGCACTAGGAGACTGGTCGACCAGCACTAGGAGACTGGTCGACCAGCACTAGGAGACTGGTCGACCAACACTAGGAGACTGGTCGACCAACACTAGGAGACTGGTCGACCAACACTAGGAGACTGGTCGACCAACACTAGGAGACTGGTCGACCAACACTAGGAGACTGGTCGACCAGCACTAGGAGACTGGTCGACCAGCACTAGGAGACTGGTCGACCAGCACTAGGAGACTGGTCGACCAGCACTAGGAGACTGGTCGACCAGCACTAGGAGACTGGTCGACCAGCACTAGGAGACTGGTCGACCAGCACTAGGAGACTGGTCGACCAGCACTAGGAGACTGGTCGACCAGCACTAGGAGACTGGTCGACCAGCACTAGGAGACTGGTCGACCAGCACTAGGAGGCTGGTCGACCAGCACTAGGAGGCTGGTCGACCAGCACTAGGAGGCTGGTCGACCAGCACTAAAAGGCCGGTCGACCAGCACTAGGAGACTGGTCGACCATCACTAAAAGGCCGGTCGACCAACACTAGGAGACTGGTCGACCAGCACTAGGAGACTGGTCGACCAGCACTAGGAGACTGGTCGACCAGCACTAGGAGACTGGTCGACCAGCACTAGGAGACTGGTCGACCATCACTAAAAGGCCGGTCGACCAGCACTAGGAGACTGGTCGACCAGCACTAGGAGACTGGTCGACCAGCACTAGGAGACTGGTCGACCAACACTAGGAGACTGGTCGACCAGCACTAGGAGACTGGTCGACCAGCACTAGGAGACTGGTCGACCAGCACTAGGAGACTGGTCGACCAGCACTAGGAGACTGGTCGACCAGCACTAGGAGACTGGTCGACCAGCACTAGGAGGCTGGTCGACCAGCACTAGGAGACTGGTCGACCAACACTAGGAGCCTGGTCGACCAACACTAGGAGACTGGTCGACCAGCACTAGGAGGCTGGTCGACCAACACTAGGAGGCTGGTCGACCAACACTAGGAGGCTGGTCGACCAACACTAGGAGGCTGGTCGACCAACACTAGGAGGCTGGTCGACCAACACTAGGAGACTGGTCGACCATCACTAGGAGCCTGGTCGACCATCACTAGGAGCCTGGTCGACCAACACTAGGAGGCTGGTCGACCAGCACTAGGTGGAAGGAGGTGGTGGACTCAACACATCCGCTCAAGCGCACTCTTTATCTATAAATCTTCTCACTACACTGCTAATCCCGACCTTAAGCGCCTGCTAGACTGCTGTAAGAGACCCACAGACGCCACACGAGAAACAAATCTCTCTCTGATATTCCTAGAGGGAGACTCAACCAAAACAGGAACGCCTTCCCTGGAAACACAAACCGTAACTGTCTATTTTCCGCTTGTTACAACTTGTAATAAAGTTGTTACATCTTGGCTTAACGTGTTTATGACGTATTAGAACGTTGTTACAACGTGCTATATTGGTTGTTATAACTGGTTAGGAGGTGTTAAAACTTGTTCGAACGTTGTACCAACGTTGTAATTTCGGTGTGTGTTTGGCGGGCTTGCCAGTCGCGGCTCCCAAACTGCGGAATGACCTCCCAAAAGTAATTCAAAACAAACATATCCCAACCAAAGGGAGCCGGTCGGCCGAGCGGACAGCACGCGGGACTTGTGAGCCTGTGGTCCTGGGTTCGATCCCAGGCGCCGGCGAGAAACAATGGGCAGAGTTTCTTTCACCCTATGCCCCTGTTACCTAGCAGTAAAATAGGTACCTGGGTGTTAGTCAGCTGTCACGGGCTGCTTCCTGGGGGTGGAAGCCTGGTCGAGGACCGGGCCGCGGGGACACTAAAAAGCCCCGAAATCATCTCAAGATAACCTCAAGATAACCAATTTTAAAGAGAGACTAAGAGATAGTTGAATAGTCGTCATGTAAAAAATTTCACTCACTTTACCTCATCTAAATAGTACTAATGTGTTTTGCTGTTAATTTAAGTTTTATATACATACAAATGTAGTCCTTTAATGCCTTTTATCACATATCTCCTAAATATTGTATATTTGCTATATTACTTGTTGAAGTTATATGTTAGCTATCTTCTTCTTTAAAGTGCGTTTACCAGCATTTGACCTTTAGATTTTTACTAATTTTGTTATGGTCGAAACGCTGAACGTTCTTTGGCTTTACTAAATATTCTCCCTCTGTATTTATCATGTTTTTGCTTTTATTACTAAAGTTAAAATCTATGTCTTTGTTATTGCAAGAAGTACAGTCTGTATGATGTCTATGTCAATGTATGTATGTATGACAGACTGTATAACAGTCTATGCCTGTCAACATTACGTGGCACCTCTGTATTCTACATCATTGCCTGTATTTCTTAAACAATTCACATGTGTGTGTGAGCGTCTAGTTTAATACTGTTTACCATGAAACTCTGTGCATAGTGGCCACATTAATACACAACCCCTGCACCGTAACATTTGTCTCTGTAACATAATCTTAATATTCTACCAATAAGATATTATTACTTACAGGAAAGCCCCAACTCCGTGCAGTTGACCCACTCCACGGGCCCCGAGCTGGTGGCTGCTATCTTGGTTATCATCACATACCCCAGTTGCTTGTACAGTCCGCCCCGGTACACCCCGTACACCCTAGCTGTCCCGGTCTCACCATGCTGGGTGCGAAACACGTGGAAATACTGTAGAGGAATTATCAGGGGGAAAGCACAAAGCCTTTACGACTATATCACACTTGGAAGGGGGTCAGGATAAGGATTTGGGATGGGACGGGGAAAAGGAATGGTGCCCAACCACTTGGATGGTCGGGGATCGAACGCCGACCTGTATGAAACGAGATCGTAGCTTTACCGTCCAGCCCAAGTAGTTGGGCGAAGCAAACTCTATTCATAATTTTAAAACTAGATATGATAGTGAAATAGTACAGAAGTCATTGCTTTAAACAACCGGCGGCAAGAAAGGCGGGATCCAAGAGCTAATAGCTCGATTCTAGAAGCACAAGTAGCAAATACAAATAGTAAATATTTACACAAACACAGAAAAAATAGTTAAAGCCAAATGGGTTGAACACCTAGAGAGTAATGACATAACAACGGACAATCATTTTAGTTTTCGAACAGGAAGATCCTGTGTAACAAATCTAGTTAGGTTTATGATAGAGCCACAGAGATACTACAGGACAGAGGTGGTTGGGTTGACTGTGTGTATCTAGATCTAAAAAAGGCCTATTTTCCAACTACACATAGGTAATTACACACACGCACACACACACACACGAACGCAAACAAACATATTGTCCTAATCTTGAAGTTGAGGAGTGAGAGTTGGGTTACTTGTTGTGTCAGGAGGTTGTGTCTCGTTCTCTGTACTGTAAATTAATAACTTATATCCTCATTCATCGCCGTTTTGTAATTCTCTCTCCAACTTTAATCAGAATTATTATCTACATTATTGTTATTGTTGTATTCATAAGACAGCTCTCCATAGTGGCAGCTCTATGTTCTTACTGTCACTATTTGTAGTATTAATGGAGCTGTAATAATAATACACAGAGAGTAATCACACTAACATGACTACATCAATGAGAAAATCCGTAGAAGCAGTGATGAGGGTTCGAACCTATGCGGTGGGAGTTGACACGCTCTAGCGACTAGACCACAACATGGTAGTGAGGACTGCAACCTGGAGTGCTACTGAACCCACGAGGATTTTCTGAGGCTTCTAGTGAAGCCGTAACAGGATTTTCACCCAATTTTCATCACTGTTCTTACGGATTTTCTCATTGATGTAGTCAAGTCAGTGTGATTACTCTGTTTGTATTGCAAGATGAGCATCAGAGGTAGAGCATTCCTGAATGACAGAGCCAGAGTGCATGGCTCTATTATCTAGGTGGGAAAGGAAGGGAACTATCAGGGGGTAAGCGCGAAGCCCTTACGACTCTATAGCACTTGGAAGGGATCGGGATAAGGATTTGGGATGGGACGGGGGGGGGGGAAAGAAATGGTGCCCAACCACTTGGACGGTCGGGGGATTGAAAGCCGACCTGCATGAAGCGAGACCGTCGCTCTACCGTCCAAGCCAAGTGGTTGGATCCAGGTGGTAGAACCCCATCACTCACACAATGTAGCAGTCCCAATTGTTACTTTCTTACAACTTGTTAGAAAATGGTTACATCTTGTTAGAAAGCTTTTATGACGTGTTCGAGATGTTACAACTTGTTCGAAGGTTGAAGCAACTTCCTAGTTTCGTCTAGTGTTTGGCGGGAAGGGTTACAGAGGCACAGAATGGGTTCATTCCTGAACCCTATAGTTTATTTAGCTAAGCAAGTGACAACATAGGTCCAAAAACAACGGTGAGGAGCAACGGGAAACCGGTACCGTTAGCACTCACCCCGATGTTGTGAACCTGTTGAACGGTGATCTCCGTGAACTGGTGGGTGTTGTTGGCGGAGAAGGAGACGCTGGTCTCGTCGTCCGGGCCGTTGTTGTCGTTGTCTAACTTGCGGAAGAAGACGGTGAGGTTGACTGTGGTCTCTGCCTCCTGCGGCCTGTACCACAACACCATGTTAACCTTGTTCGGGTCCACCAGGATCTCGGCGTGCTCTGTGTTGCCTCTGTCAGTGCAGGTTTCTGGGAGAGAGAAGGAGACAGGGAAGAGGCGAATTAAAAGCAGAAGACCAGGACGAGGATAAATGGAGAAGATTATTATGACAAAAAAAAAAAGTGCTGAAAATATTTTTTATTTCGGACAAAAGATATTCATGGCGAGTTATTTTCACATTGTCACTGAATACATTTGCACGCAAAAAGTCGAGTTGGAAGGTCCCAGCATAGAGCTGGAAGGTCCCAGCATAGAGGTGGATGGTCCCAGCACAGAGCTGGATGGTCCCAGCACAGAGCTGGATGGTCCCAGCACAGAGCTGGATGGTCCCAGCACAGAGCTGGATGGTCCCAGCATAGAGCTGGATGGTCCCAGCACAGAGCTGGATGGTCCCAGCATAGAGCTGGATGGTCCCAGCATAGAGCTGGAAGGTCCCAGCATTAAGCTGGAAGGTCCCACCATAGAGCTGGAAGGTCCCACCATAGAGCTGGAAGGTCCCACCATAGAGCTGGAAGGTCCCACCATAGAGCTGGAAGGTCCCACCATAGAGCTGGAAGGTCCCACCATAGAGCTGGAAGGTCCCACCATAGAGCTGGAAGGTCCCACCATAGAGCTGGAAGATCCCACCATAGAGCTGGAAGGTCCCACCATAGAGCTGGAAGGTCCCCACCATAGAGCTGGAAGGTCCCACCATAGAGCTGGAAGGTCCCACCATAGAGCTGGAAGGTCCCACCATAGAGCTGGAAGGTCCCCACCATAGAGCTGGAAGGTCCCAGCATAGAGCTGAAAGGTTCCAGCCAACATAGAGCTGGAACTAACCTGGCAAGGCTGTCACTATGTTACAAACAATACGATGAGACTGGTATTTCAATGATCCTATATAAGCAATACAGCAATACAGATTAATACAAAATCAGCACAATAACATTTCAATCATCACACTACATAATGTTGTTCATTAAGTCTTTACCAACCGTTCCGTACCGCGGCTTCCCAGGGTGAGAAACCTCAGTGGGAAAAAAATAAAGTTAACCTTATTTTTACGGACAGAGAAGAAACCTTTGGTGGAACTACCATGAGGCTTTTGTGGTGCTGACGCAAAGAAAGAACTTTCCGTGGAGTGATGGAGGTGATGAACAAATCCTCACCGGCCGTGATGAGGGTTCGAACCTACGTCCGGGATGATCCCAGACGCGCCTTAGTCGACTTGGTCACGACATGGTCAAAAGAATTGCAACTGGGAGTGCTACTGCCCTCACAAGCACTCCAGATTGCAATTCTTTTAACCATATCTTGACGTAGTCGACTAAGGCGCATCTGGGATCATCCCGGACGTAGGTTCGAACCCTCATTACGGCCGTTGAGGATTTGTTCAGTTGATGCATCATGCTATTGTGATTTCTGTGTGTATGAAGGTAATGTTTTATTGATCATCAGCAGTGAATCAACATCATCCATGTAACACTTGTGTGTGGCAAAGCTGGAAAATCAGAGCTCTTGACTTCCTCTTCCATTTTAATCTCCATTAATAAAAGATAAGTAAAATCCAATTGTCCCGACGGGAGCACGCTCGGCCCTCCACACAAGTCGTGAGAGTTTTCACTCCCGCTAACTTTCCTGCAACTAAGCTGACTCTCCAGGCTCCTCACTATAATTTTCCTGCAACTAAGCTGACTCTCCAGGCTCCTCACTATAATTTTCCTGCAACTAAGCTGACTCTCCAGGCTCCTCACTCCCGCTAACTTTCCTGCAACTAAGCTGACTCTCCAGGCTCCTCACTAATTTTCCTGCAACTAAGCTGACTCTCCAGGCTCCTCACTCCCGCTAACTTTCCTGCAACTAAGCTGACTCTCCAGGCTCCTCACTAATTTTCCTGCAACTAAGCTGACTCTCCAGGCTCCTCACTCCCGCTAACTTTCCTGCAACTAAGCTGACTCTCCAGGCTCCTCACTCCCGCTAACTTTTCTGCAACTAAGCTGACTCTCCAGGCTCCTCACTAATTTTCCTGCAACTAAGCTGACTCTCCAGGCTCCTCACTCCCGCTAACTTTCCTGCAACTAAGCTGACTCTCCAGGCTCCTCACTAACTTTCCTGCAACTAAGCTGACTCTCCAGGCTCCTCACTCCCGCTAACTTTCCTGCAACTAAGCTGACTCTCCAGGCTCCTCACTCCCGCTAACTTTCCTGCAACTAAGCTGACTCTCCAGGCTCCTCACTAACTTTCCTGCAACTAAGCTGACTCTCCAGGCTCCTTATGGCAATCCACTGTCGGCCACAGAAGGTGACTATCTCGGGCTCCTCACCAGCGCTGTTGACTGTCAATCATTGAATGATCCCCGAGTGTTACACCATTCCTGACCACTTGCAGACAAGCACACCATTCCAGATTTTGAGTTATCGACCCTAAGAGCTGCATATAATTTGCAGAGTTGCTTAAACAGTTGTTAATGTTAGCCTGGTTCTTGTTAATATTAAATGTCTTCCTTATCAAAACCTGTATACAATCTAAATTTTAATCTAAAGTTATGCCCGAGACGCTCACTGTGTACTAGTGGTGTCGTGATTGCTGAACCACGGTACATTCCGCACACAGCGATTACACAGCTATAACTCCTTGCCTCATGAACCCGTGACTACCAGCGTGTACTTCTCCACACCTGACTCTTGAGGCGGACCACCAGGGTTGTACAGGAACTCAGTGAGAGGACATATAGAGGGTAATTAAAGGCCGTCAGGTTTTCCCTATTTAATTACACAAACTAGACACTGACAATGAACGATACGTTAACTTACTATATATCTATCTATATCTATATATATCTATATCTATATATATCTATATCTATATCTATATCTATCTATATCTATCTATCTATCTATATCTCTCTCTCTGGTTAAATCAACTTCCAATACCCATATACCCACTAAACCTTCCCGGTCACCACCTGGACTCTTAACCTCCGCCTAAGTCCCTAATACTAAATCCTCCTACAACGCTACACACCCGGTTAGTCTTCCATTCAATATTTACATTCTGCAGACTTAACTTGGTCAACAAGATCACATCAGGCTCCCACATATTGTCAGTTCTACTTCGTTGTTGCAACAGATGGAGATAAGGAGGACTTGCCTGAACCAATCCTCCCAACAGACTGTCCTCAGCCAGCCATAGCCTCAACCATTACACCCCACCTCCCAGGGAGGGTGTGTAATCCGATTACCCGTAGGTGACCTTGTTTCTAGACACTTAAGGTCACCCTTTGTCCTCTTGGCTGGTACACACTCTTAACGGTCAAGCAGCTGCTGTCTTAATCCCTTGACCTTACCTCGATGTGTGGGCCCAGTCTGAATACTTAACAAGTACTTCTACTTCATCATTTGTTAGGTGTTTTAGTGTTTGATTCACTAGCCAATATTCCCTCCTAACTTGTGGGTTACAGCAGTGGATACATGCACTGTACTTGTCTTACCTATGTATCTTCCCCCTTTTTATGTCTTATATCTATGTACACTTGTGTAAATAAACGTATTATTATTATTATTATTGAACTAATCCACAGGAGCCTTGATGGGGGTTCGAACCTAAGCGCTGGGTGTTCCCAGACGCGCTCTAGTCCACTCCACCACCACATGGTCAAAACAATTGCAATTCTTTTGTGGATTTGTTCATTGATATATCCCGTTATTGTAATTTCTGTGTATTATTATTATTATTATTATTATTATTATTATTATTATTATTATTATTATTATTATTATTATTATTATTATCATCAGTGTTATTGACGTGTGACTCTGCAAGACTTTAGACAGGAAAAAAAAGATGCAGATTATTGCAGCACAAAGAAAGATAACGTTGTGAACGATAACATGGGCTCAGCGAAGGGAAGTCGTGAGTAATAACCTTGATATCGTTCTTAGACAATCTGACGGTGATTAGACAGGACTGCCGGACACCTCCACACACTCTTTTTCGTACTCCAGAAACCCGGAGGGACGGAATTATCAGGGGAAAGCACCAAGCCATCACGACTATATAGCACTTGGAAGGGCTAAGGATAAGGATTTGGGATGGGACAGGAGGAAAGAATGGTGCCCAGCCACTTAGACGGTTGGGTATTGAACGCCGACCTGCATGAAGCCAGACCGTTGTTTTACGTCCAGGCCAAGTAGTTGGACAGGAACCCGGAGGAGTAATGGAACAAATACTACAATGAACGAGACAATGTTTGCAACAGGAAGTGGCGAATCCCAGCAAAAAGTGGAGGCAGATCGAGGCAGAAAATCTTGCCACTGCACAAAGGTTTAAGTGCTTTAACATCAAGATTTGAACATTATATTGTAGAATGTCCCATATTGACTGACTTTCGCCCTCCTGGGCTAAGGTATGCTGAACTCTGTAATTACTATATGAGTACTGGAACACTTGATGATATATTGGACTTGTATCCAAGATTGACCATGTAATATATCAATCATACAATGTATATATATGATGTAACTATATAACCTGAGCTTGTAAAAGCCCCTTCATCACCTTCAGTGATTAAGTGCTTAATTGCACACTAGTTTCTTTATCAGCTACCTCACCCCGTCAGAGTAAATGAGACAAATGTATATGAATGCATGTGTGTGTGTATATATGTATGTATATGTGTGTGTGTATGTATATGTATGGGTATAAAGTATATATGGAAGCTGATCAGTATTACATTTCACCTTTGTGAATGTACATTAATGACACTATGTAAAAGACACATCAAACACTTTATGTAGGGCATACGTAAATCTGTGTATCTATATATTTACGTATGTAGGTTAGCTTAGCATTTTAAAAGCACCGAATCACCTTCTGTGGTTGAGTGTTCAATAAACCCTTGAACTATATGTTTAACACTTCTCTAACCCTGTCCATGGAGGACAGAAGAAAATGTATATATGCTAGTTAGCATTGTAAATGTGTGGCCACGTCTGTGGTAGAAAATAATAATAAAAAAAAATGCTGCCTCGTTTGTAAGGGAGACCATCATATCGCTGCCCTCGCAGACAGGATGCAATGGCACATGAGATAGCCTCTACGAAACCCCCCAACCCTGCCAACGCCTCAGCCACCACCACCAGCCCCACCTCTCCTACAGCTGTGTACACCAGCCACCCAGATGCCTTCCCTGTCTTTCCAGGCAGCGGACTCTCCCTGCAACCATCCCTGCCGCCAGCCTGGGTGCCCACCACTCAGCCACCGTCCCAGCTTCGATCATCTATCAAATCAAATGCGGCCAAATCTCCGCCAACCTGTCATCTCTCCAAACGATGGCGTCATACCCGCCCTAATGCTCTTCGCAGAACGGATCGCCGGAACCGACAACCGCTTGTTTGCTAGACCCCTCAACACCCTGTATGCCGCGAATGGCTTAACCGGGATAAGTGTTTCTGAGGCAGTTCTGGCTCCTCCAACATCAACAGCGGTCCCTGCGTCACTTACTGTCCTGGTGGAACTCGCGGAGACGCCTTCAGCAACAACGACCAGTTCGCCATCTACAACGCCAATCACCCACACCCTCATCCACTGTGCTAGCGGCCGCCGACGTGCGATCAGCCCCTGCCAGCGAAACAACACGCGACCCAACGGCAACCCCGGCTCCATGACCCCTGGGACCTGTACCTTCAACCCACCCTGTACCGGACACAGACGATCCGTCTGACTCATCTGACGAAGACGTCTCTGCGTGAGCGACATGTCTTCCCCAACATCTTCACCCCTATAGCCTGGAAGACTTCTTACTCAAGGCCTCTCCTACAAACTTGACCGACAGCGCCGCCGTGTCTACTCGAAGCAAATCGACTAAGAAGAAGCTCAACTAGAAGAAGACGACGTCCTAGGAAGAATGAGCCACATTTAACGACGTTACCCAACCCCACCCAGCTGCTTTCGAGCCGAGACCCTGTGCGACGCTAATGGACACAAGTGAACACTAAGAACGCTTCACTAAGGACACTAAGTATCATTGCCAAGTCAAGTCCACGGTGGTTGGGCCACCGAGCTATCTCCTCGACTTCTTGATTCCTGTTCCCTGCTCAAGTTTTCTGCATCCTCGCCTCAGCCCTCCGTCCCCCTGCTTACCTGGCCTAGGATCTTCGATTCGTGATTAGTGAGGGGCACAGAGACGACTCCGACTTCCCTACAACGCTCCCGATAAAATCAAACCGTTATTCATGCACAGTTTAATGACATTAGCCACAAGAATCATACTTGTATCTTCACGCAGACAGACATTCTCTCTTATAGTTACAAGGAGGAGGGGGTACACGGTGATCCCGGGTCTCTCTCTCTCTCTCTCTTTTTCCCAATATACCTCCTCTCTTATGTTTGTTTCTCTGTCGCCCCACCTTTAATGCATACACTAGAACACTATATTGTTGAATGCGAAGCCATGACAGATTTTAAACCTCCTGGACTATTGTACCACCATCTGTGTAACTATTTCATTGACTCAGGTGTTCTGGACGACATCCTAACAATTTATCCAAAATTTGCTTGTCCATTTTAAAGAATGGAGAACAATTATATTTATATTACTTCTAAGCTGCATCACTTATGAACCCATCCCTGCCCTTGTGTGGCAGTGCACAGAAGAAAGTTGTTTTTACATATTCATACATTAAAACATTGATTGTAACCATGATATATATGTGCTTCAACCTACAATTTAGACCTATTGTCTTGTGTATGACCCTCTGTCCTGCGTGACAGTGAATACCAGCATTATCCTCACTTTAATAAGACTTAATTGAAATCCTCAGATTAGATAAAATTGTAATTAATTTTGTCAATACAGATGTTAATAATAATAAATGTCGCCCCTCTGTTCCCATCTTCCCCTCTCTTCAGCTTTCTCTCATCAGTTCTCCCTCTTCTCACCGCTCTCCTTCCTTCTCTCCCAATCTCCACCCTATCATCCTCTTTTATCTCCCCGTCTCTCCTGCCCTCTTCATAAACATCCCCTTCCCCCTCTCCTTCCCTGTATCCCCCTCTCCTTCTCTGTATCCCCCTCTCCTTCCCTGTATCCCCCTCTCCTCTCTCTGTATCCCCCTCTCCTCTCTCTGTATCCCCCTCTCCTCTCCCTGTATCCCCCTCTCCTCTCCCTGTATCCCCCTCTCCTCTCCCTGTATCCCCCTCTCCTCTCCCTGTATCCCCCTCTCCTCTCCCTGTATCCCCCTCTCCTCTCCCTGTATCCCCCTCTCCTCTCCCTGTATCCCCCTCTCCTCTCCCTGTATCCCCCTCTCCTCTCCCTGTATCCCCCTCTCCTCTCTCTGTATCCCCCTCTCCTCTCTCTGTATCCCCCTCTCCTCTCTCTGTATCCCCCTCTCCTCTCTCTGTATCCCCCTCTCCTCTCTCTGTATCCCCCTCTCCTCTCTCTGTATCCCCCTCTCCTCTCTCTGTATCCCCCTCTCCTCTCTCTGTATCCCCCTCTCCTCTCTCTGTATCCCCCTCTCCTCTCTCTGTATCCCCCTCTCCTCTCTCTGTATCCCCCTCTCCTCTCTCTGTATCCCCCTCTCCTCTCTCTGTATCCCCCTCTCCTCTCTCTGTATCCCCCTCTCCTCTCTCTGTATCCCCCTCTCCTCTCTCTGTATCCCCCTCTCCTCTCTCTGTATCCCCCTCTCCTCTCTCTGTATCCCCCTCTCCTCTCTCTGTATCCCCCTCTCCTCTCTCTGTATCCCCCTCTCCTCTCTCTGCATCCCCCTCTCCTCTCTCTGCATCCCCCTCTCCTCTCTCTGTATCCCCCTCTCCTCTCTCTGTATCCCCCTCTCCTCTCTCTGTATCCCCCTCTCCTCTCTCTGCATCCCCCTCTCCTCTCTCTGCATCCCCCTCTCCTCTCTCTGCATCCCCCTCTCCTCTCTCTGCATCCCCCTCTCCTCTCTCTGCATCCCCCTCTCCTCTCTCTGCATCCCCCTCTCCTCTCTCTGCATCCCCCTCTCCTCTCTCTGCATCCCCCTCTCCTCTCTCTGCATCCCCCTCTCCTCTCTCTGCATCCCCCTCTCCTCTCTCTGTATCCCCCTCTCCTCTCTCTGTATCCCCCTCTCCTCTCTCTGTATCCCCCTCTCCTCTCTCTGTATCCCCCTCTCCTCTCTCTGTATCCCCCTCTTCTCTCTCTGTATCCCCCTCTCCTCTCTCTGTATCCCCCTCTCCTCTCTCTGTATCCCCTCTCCTCTCTCTGTATCCCCCTCTCCTCTCTCTGTATCCCCCTCCCCTCTCTCTGTATCCCCCTCTCCTCTCTCTGTATCCCCCTCTCCTCTCTCTGTATCGGAAAATGTAATACTGAATTCACGTTCATTCTTACTAGTGAAGAAGAAATCTAAGGACTTGGCCAACTACCTTCATCAATTATGTGCGAGGGAGGTCCCTATTGGGCTTGACACACACATACACACACACGCACGCACGCCCGCCCGCACGCATACACACAAAAGTCTGCCTCACCTGTCTGTTCTGTAAGAGTCAGCGACGACACGCAGATAAATACGGCAATTATTGTAAGCCACATTTTGTCTGCTTCCCTTTATCTCGCTGTTGCTGTCTATCAACGCCAGCTACCACCGTTTATTTCCATAAGCTGTCAGAGGATCTGACAGTATGTCACTGCCACTGTATGGTCATCTGGCACTGTCTATCCATCTGCCACTGTATGGTCATTTGGCACTGTCTATCACCTTCTGTCACTGTCTATCATAGTTTGTCACTAACACTGTCTTTCACCGACTCTGTTTCGCTGTCCACTGTAGTTCACTGTTAACCACCGCAGTTCACTGTTGACCACTGCGGTTCACTGTTGATTATGCGGTTCATCAGACTTCTCTCCGCTCAAGAAGCTGTGAGAATGTGATACAATTATCTGCCACAGTCATGTGTTGTGATGGAACTTAAGAGGATTTCCTGTTAAGATTATAGTTCGTTTCATGTGTAAGTGAGTGAGTGAGTGAGTGAGTGAGTGAGTGAGTGAGTGAGTGAGTGAGTGAGTGAGTGAGTGAGTGAGTGAGTGAGTGAGTGAGTGAGTGAGTGAGTGAGTTAGCGAGCGAGCGAGCGTGTGATTGCATATTGATAAAAAAAATAAAACAAAAAATGTAAAATGAAAGAATCGTTAGAACCAGCATGTCGTTGGTGGTTCTGCACCAAAGAACCAAATGACTTCCTTAATTGTAACCAGCAGTGGGTGCTGAGAGACGACTGGCGGGCTCTGATTGCCAGCTGTGACGGAAGGATCGTCATTAAGACGACAGCAGACCCCCGCCCTGGTCAGGTAGGCTGAGGAGGATGGTATTAAGCAGGAACTCTGGCCGTAGGGCAATGCAATGACTCGCGATTCGTCGGTTTTTCTTTAATTTTGATTAGTCTGTATAGCCAATATACCTAGCCACAATGTATAGCCAATATACCTAGCCACAAAGCATAGCCAATATACCTAGCCACAATGCATAGCCAATATACCTAGCCACAATGCATAGCCAATATACCTAGCCACACTGCTAGTCTATATGACTAGCAAATGGCACGTCAAGGTCTTTAAGACTTGTATCTCCCTGTAACTTGGTAAGGAAATAAGCAGCACTGAAGCTGTGAGGATGCCCAGCATAGAGAGAGGAAGCCTGGCAGTGGGCCTCAGAGATAACGTTACGGTAGAGGCAGATGTAGAGAGGAAAAAAGCATGGCTCCACCAGGTGTGGACAGTTACGCAGGGGCAAATGCACAAGCAGAAGGTAGAATCAGAAAAAAACGTGAGGGGTAAAACAGAAGAAATTGAAGAGGTATTAAAGGAACTCAGAGCCAGGGAGAGGATTGGCCTTTGTCTTCACTCAACGCGAAATTGCCATTGACAACATGGAGCCTGAAATGTCACTGGAGGCAAGTTTATGTACTAATTTTTTATTATGTAGTTATGAAAGCTGTGGCAAAATGAAGAGAAGAGGGGAGTGAGAAACTACCTTCACATAAAGACGAGAACCAGAAGGTCAGATAATTTGTAGAGAGAATATCATGGGAAATAGAAATAAGACACAAAACAACACAAGCCATATAGGATGGACAACATAATGATCCAATGAAAAGAAGCTGAACGAAGATGTATACCACCCTCAAGGATAAAGCACCCAAGAGAAACCATTGCCATGGTTTAATAAACAATGCTTAGAGGCAAAAATAATAGGTAAAAAGAGCTTGGAAAAATACAGGGCTCAGTAGTAGGGTGGTGGCGCCACAGGGGAATTTTTTTTTCTGGGAGAAAAATCCCCTGTGCGCCCCAAGGGTTTCAGGTAAATTTAGAATATCCCCTGTAGCGCCCCAGGGTTTTTTTTTCGCCAATATCCCCTGTAGCGGCCAAGGTTTTCAGGTAAATTTGGGGAGTCACAGATTTGGAATTAGGGAATTCTTATAATGAAAAATAATGTCATACGAGTTTGTTAAAGTTCTTATAAGAAAAATAATTTCCGAGACTTAGAAGTTTGTTAAGGCCTTATGGGAGAAATTCAAATAACGTGTGTAGCACTTTAGGGCTTCCAGGAGAACTCTACGGACATATTTTACATGTTTTCAACTTACAAAATCGTCTATGTAAGCCTTAGTTATTCATATAAATTTAGAAAATCACCTGTGTAAGTCATGGTTTTCAGGGTTTCGTACATCACACCCCCCTCCCTCCCCCCTTACCTCGCAATCTGTCGCGTCACCTTTATTTACTTTACGCCCGGCCAGCCAGTCGGCTCTTACCTCTTATCTTATCTTATCCATAATATCTGGACCGTCCCTCCTCTCTCTCTCTCTCTCTCTCCTTTCATTCAGTTCAACTATTTTCCAACATCGTATGTTTGCTCCTTTTCATTAAGCAAGTCAGTTTTACACAAATAAATCATGTTAGTAAGCATGTTCTAGCTCACGTTCCCCCACCTTAGTCCCCTGTCGTATAATGAATACTATCATTCCAATCCCTCTAAAATTTAAAAATAATCATATTTCAAATGTAGTTCAATACAGTAATTTAGTTACCAAGCTCCAGCGCTTGTCCTCCGCCTTAGCTCTCTCTCGTATCTTCGTTAGTATCAGTCCAATTTCCCTGAAATTTTCACCCTCTGTATTTCAGGCACCATAAATAAGATCAAAACAGTTACCAAGCTCCAGCGCTTGTCCTCCGCCTTAGCTCTCTCTCGTATCTTCGTTAGTATCAGTTTCCCTGAAATTTCCCTGTAAATTAAATTCACCTCTCTGTATTTCAGGCCAATTTCCCTGAAATAATTTCAGACATAGTAAGATCAAAACAGTTACCAAGCTCCAGCGCTTGTCCTCCGCCTTAGCTCTCTCTCGTATCTTCGTTAGTAACAGTCCAATTTCCCTGAAATTTTTACCCTCTGTATTTCAGGCTCCGTAAATAAGATCAAAACAGTTATCAAGCTCCAGCGCTTGTCCCCCACCTTATTTCGTTTATACAAGATCGTTAGTAACAGTCCAATTTCCCTGAAATTTTTACCCTCTGTATTTCAGACACCGTAAATAAAATCAAGTCAGTTATCGAGCTCCAGCTCTCGTCCCCTCCTTAGTTCTCCTTCATATCTTTGTAAATAACCCATCAATTTCCCTAAAATTAAAAGCAGACATACTTCAAAGTTAGTAAATAAGATCAAGTCAGTTACTGAGCTCCAGCTCTCGTCCCCCACCCTCTTCCACCCTCAAGTCTTTGTAAATAAACCATCAATTTCCCCGAAATTTTTACCCTCTGTATTTCAGACATAGTAAATATGAAGTAAACAATTATAAAACTCTAGCTCTTGTCCTCTGTCCAAGCTCACTTTTGTAAATTCATTACTCTCAGTCCAAATCACCCAACTACATTTTCAGACATAGTAAATAAAAACCAGTTCAGTTATCAAGTTACAACTCTTGTGCCCCAGCTTAGTTCATTTGTGCAAGTTCTTTATTTTCCAACTAAATCACCCTGAGATTTAAGATCACCTTATTTTCTAACGTAGTAAAATTAATCTGGACATTAGCCTTAGATCATCAGACATAAATATATTCGATCAAGTCCGTCTCCAGCGTATCTCTTATCCGAGTATACACATAACCCCAACCTGTTTAATTATCTTTCACCCCCTCCCACCTTCCTCCATCTCATCCAAGTCTCATAAATTTAAATGTAGCTGTTAATTTGCGTTCTTTCCCCGTTCATAGCATATTCTCTGTAAGTTCAGATCTGTACTTAGTCTTACATATTCTCTAGTTCTTTCCCATTTTATACAAGACTTAAACAACTATTACCGTCTCCTCTATCTTATTTAAACATGAGTCATATGTAAATATACCCGACTCTTTCCATCCATTACAAGTCCTAGCTTGTTCACCGCCCAACTCACTACGCTATTTCTACTCTACATGTTATAGCATGTTTTCCGCTCATCTTGGTACCAACCCTTACAATCTCTCTCTCATTCCTTTACATGTCTCAGCATGTCTCAGCATGTTCGCCTCGCATCTTACTACGCTGTCTACTTTACATGTTGTAGCGTGTATTACTGTGTCCCATATCTTATTTAAACATGAGTCATATGTAAATATACCCGACTCCTTCCATCCATTACAAGTCCTAGCTTGTTCACCGCCCAACTCACTACACTGTCTACTTTACATGTTGTAGCATGTTTTCCGCACATCTTGATACCATCCCTTACAATCTCTCAATCCTTTACACATCCCAACTTTCAACCCTTTCTTACAATTTTCCTCCATCCCTCCGCTACATGTTCTTACCCGTTCATTACAGTCCACTACATATTCTCTAATCATCTCTGTACTAATTCTCAAAACTAGTTGTTTCTGTCATTTTAGTAAGTAAGTAAGTAGATCATCGTTATTAACAACAACAACAACAACAACAGTAACATTACTAATTCACAGTAAGTTACTACTGAGCATTTAGCAGTTATCCATTTTCAAATAAGGTCAATATAAATCATTCTAAGACATCTTCGTACAATTAAAGATACTTGCCTGTGCACTAAGTCATTACTTACAGTAGCATCTTAAGGCATTGTTTTCGTAACTCAGTTTTATTAAACATACACCTTCATTAGTCAAAGGAAAACTTTTCAAGTCATTGTATTCAATATTTCCGTTAAACTTACTACATCATGTCATTATTCGGTTTCATAATTAAGTACTTGTTTCAGTCCTCCAATGTAATAAGCGAATTATTCTATTAAGGATAAAGAAATCTTATTTAGAAGAGACATTAAGTTTATTACAACATTTAACGCATACAAGTGTTTTTAGTAGTTATACAGGTATTCAAGAAATCATAAGTGTCAAGAAGCAATTATATACAAGTGTTCTTAGTAGTTATACAGGTATTCATAAGTGTTCAAGAAGCAATCATATACAAGTGTTCTTAGTAGTTATACAAGTGTTCAAGAAAATCATATACAAGTGTTCAAGAAGCAATTGGATTTATTATATATAAAATATTTCCTCTACAAATTGGACAGCATTTCAGAGCTAAAAGACAACCACTGCATGTCACCATATGTTTACATGGTAGTATTACAATATTTATATTTTTATCCATACAAACTCTGCATAAAATATCTTCTTCCCAAGATTGTTCTGTACAGTCCTTGTTTTCAACAGTGTTAGTACAAGTCTCCGGTAAAGTTTTCAATCCCAGATCTTCAGGCGTAACTTCTTGTTCCTTTTTATCATCAACTGCTTCATAAATTAAGTCCCGTACCCGTAAATAAATATCTGTTCCCTCTTGCATATACCTCAACACGATTTCTAGACATCTACTTTGTATAATAAAAGGCAACAAATCTCTGGATTCCTTAAGGTACTCACTTAAAGCATATCTTA